CACACACACACACACACACACACACACACACACACACACACACACACACACACGGACATGAACACATTTTCAAGAGCTGAACCAGACGTCTTATAAAGGTATCATTAAATTGAAAACACTTGAATGGAAAGTAGTGTTTACTGAAGTTTGCTCTTTGATTTTGCTTTTATATCCAGGATCTCCAAAAACATTCACATTATGAAAGACCCACACAAAAAAAGATATGTGAACAATGGCATGAAGAAATTCAAAGCTTTCTGTTTGTTGCTAAAGTTTGTATTAATCGAATTTCATCTTAGAAGGATCGACATCACAGACGCCATATACATAAATACATATACATACATACATACATATACAGTATGTGTGTGTATTTAAATTTTCAAAGAATTGATTCTGCTGCGAGACCGCCATGCTTCACAGTGTGCAGCTACCAGAGAGACAATGCAAGACAAAGACAATCAAACAAATCATCTAAAGCAACTTCTTATACTCATTGTAAATCCTGCTATTGCTCACAATAAGACAAAGCCACTTTAATGAGCTGCTAAGAATCCAGCCTTGATGTGAAATAAGGACATGTCAAAACACACGCGCGCGGTTAACAGCATCTGGAATGTTTCTAGACTTTAAAAGGCCAGAGTGTGTAAATCAAAATAAACAAGCATTATTAATATTTCCATGTTTCCAACTGTTCAAGCTTAAAGAGATATTCCAGCCATTTTGAAGTGGGATTTTTGTAGGAAGGTTGTAAAGAATTAATATCTTACCAGACGTAGAAAGCTATTTTAATGGTTGCAGTTTAGAAAAACAATACTGATGAGCTGAAAGGTTAGTCTGAATGCACCCAAGACATAAGTCAATTCATGCTATCTTAAATTGGCTGCTCTCAGTTTTGCGATACATAGTCACTTCCTGAAGTTCTGTGGTTATTTACAACTTCAAAAAGCAACAGTAAAGTGTATATTTCGGGTGTAGTCTGGGGTCGAATTGGGTAGAAATTTCACAAAACTTTAGCTAATGCAAAAATGGCAGTGTTGTAAACCTGTAAAAATAAAAAGTAATAAAAACAAAAAATAATAAAAAAGCCAAATGTTTTGAGAGTGGTGGCACATCAAGGACTGCCTCCAACCTTCCTTTGATCCTCATCAATTTGCACACAGAGCAAACTGATCCTCTGCTGATGCCATCTCCACTGCCCTCAACACCACTCTGACCCACTTAGAACTCCATGAGTCCCTCATCAGGAGGCTCTTTGTTGACTTTAGCTTGGCCTTGAATACTTTTCATCCTGTTGGACAAACTGGCTGCCCTAGACTTCCCTCCCATCGTGTCTGCCTGGATTAAAGACTTCCTTACAACTCATCCACAGTCTGTAAGAATTGGTGCACACAGCTCCTCCACCCTGACACTCGGCACTAGTTTTCCTCCCAGGGCTGTGTGCTGAGCCCACTACTATTTGACATCTACACACATGACCTCAACCCCTCTCACTCTACTAACACCATCATAAAATATGCMGATGACGCTTCTCCGGTGGACTTATRCGACTCAAAGAGTCGGCATACKGGGAAGAGGTGYAGCGGTTGGCAGTGTGGTACTCCAGGAACAACCTGTCACTCAGCACCCTAAAAACCAAGGAGATGGTCATAGACTACAGGAAGAGCAAGGCTGCCCCTGCATCACTCTACATCAATGGCAACAGTGTGGAGAGTCTCCCACTKYAAATTCTTGGGGACCTACATCTCAGCGAACCCCTCCTGATCGTTCAACACCACAACAGTGATTAAGAAGACCTATCGGTGACTCCACTTCCTGGGAGTACTCAGACAGAAAATTTGGAGACTAAGTTGTTGGTAACCTTCTATTGCTTCACCACAGAGAGTGTGCTGGAAAACGCCATCACTGTGTGGTATGCTGGCTCCACYACTGCTGACAAGAAGAGGCTGCGGGGGATGATCAGAACTGCTGMGAAAATAACTGGTTGTCCACTCCCCTCCCACAACAATATTGCCAGGAGCCACTGTCTCTCCAGTGCAAAGACCACCTTCATCCTGRTCACCACCTACTCAGTCAGCTGCCCTCCGGCAGAAGGTACAGGAGCATAAARAGCTGCAGGCTCAACAGACTCAAAACCCGTTTTTCCCCAAGAAAGGGCCATCTAGACTCTGAACATCAACMAAACATCCTAAGTTTAATAACTACTTTATCACTAGTCCTGTCTCTGGTGCAACAAWACATGTACCYGTATCGAACCACATCGAACAGTGCTTTAGGTTCAATACACACTTGTATCGAACAGTACAGATTTTTACAATTTACTTTATCAACTTGTCTTCTGAAGATGCTCTGTGTTRAAGGATCAGTGGATCTGTGTTCGACTACTCCACCTAGGCTGCATTTTTGAGCGCAGATCCACTGAGAAACTTGGTGTTTCAGCAACATTTAATTTAAAAACTGTACTTTTGAGATTAAACAAATGTTCATAATTAATTTAAATAAATTACAAGTAAAAAGGGGCATGGAAATTTCTGTTTTTTCGACCCGTGAGACTAAAGTACTG